CTTCGCGTTTTCTTTATCAGAATAGTGCAACTTGGAATAAGCCTCGATTCATCTCCTCCTTTAAACCAGGGTAATTACCCAGAGCCAAACATGGGATTAATAAATGCCCTGACATTCTGGTAGCACGAGGATGGTCTGATTTATGGCTTTTTCCTTGTTTTTGTTACTTCTGATAAGAGCGCATAGGCAATTAGTTTTTAGCTACTGAGGTACGCTAATTATATTGCTGAGATGCCGAAACAGAAGAAAAAAAGGCAAAGTGAAACCAAGACCACTCTTCGTAAATGATTTGATTGATCTTTCCAACGAAGAGGTGGCAGACAGGAGGTTTCCAGATTTCCAGCCCCTTACTACAGCCACACGCCTGGAATGAGAAGAAGCCGTGGGAACAGAAATGGATGGAGATAAGACAGAAGCTGTTTTTGAAGATGATGATTTACGACTGAGGTCAGTAACATTTTCTTCTGGTCTTCCAAGCTCTGAAAAAGTCTCCCCAGAACCTTCTGAATTTGTAAAGCTCGGTGCAAGCACTGCTGAGCAAAATTACTCCCACGCAGAGAGAGAAACAATTCATTATTCTCCTCGAAGCTCTAAGCTCACCCTGGATCAGCTAGCCATGAAAGCCTACCGTATAAAACTCTATGAACAGCAGCTATCCCAAGCAAAAATGGCTATATCTATGCTTGAGCAAGACATGGGAGATAACTTAAATTTTTCAAAAAGCTCCATATTGTCTTCTTGCTCAGAGCCAAAGACACTCCCCTGGTGGATCCTGTGTCAGGCCAATTAAGGCAAAGAGCACTGCATACGTCACATGAAAGTCTCCCTGATCAAGTTACACATGTCTTACATAACCACTCCTACTCTAAAGCATACAATGCCCCGTATGCAAAGCTGCCCAAAGGTGCAGCACCATCTGCTGGCAAAAGTAATTTACTACAGGAAGCTGAAATGCCACAAGTGTTTCCACAGGCCCAAACTCAAACACCCCCTGGCGGTGTTGGTGTCCTTTTAGATGGAACACAGCAAAGGCAAATGATTGCATCTCCAGCAGGTCATGCCAATATTGCAGCTCAAGCACAAATGGCAACTGGAATACAGCAGATTCCAGTGCATCAGCCACAGCAGCTACAAATGCCTGCATATGTGCCCCAGCCACAAGTGCAAATAGGGCCACCTCCTGGCCCACCACCAATGGCACAACCAAGACCATTTTTAGGTCCACAACAGGCACAGCAAATACCTCTGCCAGCACAGCCAGCATACCAAGTGCAGGCTCCTCACCAGGCATTTTCTGTCTCTCCACTAACTGGTGAGTCAAAACTAAAAATGTCAGGACATAATTACAAAGCCTGGGTCAGTGAGATTACACTATTGCTTCTTAGAGAAGGCACTCATTTTATGGTATTTAAACCCACCTGCTCAACCTTGGACTTATGCAATAAGAGATTTAGAGATAAGGGCCCGCACAACATTATTGATGTCCATGGATACTGAACTGCAGGTCACTTTTCCACCAAATACAACAGCCCGACAAATTTGGGCTGAATTGGAAAATTGCTACAGGCCTATCTCAATTGAATCTTCATGTTTACTCATGTCTGAACTCCATGGTTCGAGATTGAAACCTGGTGAACAAATTGGAGGACATTTGACCAAACTGAAAGGTCTGAGAACAGAATTGAGAGAAAGAGGCCATAACATTGAGGATATTCAAATGATCAGCATCATTATTAACTCTTTGAATTATGAATGGAAAGATGCTGTTACAAAAATTAACCAAGTCCCTATTGCTCAACGCACAGTGGACAATGTCTGTAGACTTTTAATTGAAGAAGAGGCATTCATGTTGTACGCCACACTTGAGAGGACCACCCGCATCAAGAGCTCCAGCTAGGCGCCTCTTCCAAGGAAGGACCTATGCTCCAAGGATGCCAAGATGCAACACCTGCAATCGTGTGGGACATGCCACCCGGGATTGTCCCCAACGAGTTCCAGCTCCCGTCACGTACCAGCCCAGAGGAACAGACTCCAGAGACAGAGGCAGAGGCGGAAGACAAGGTCGTCGTGGTCCCCGGCATGATCCACAAACTCCACTCGCCACATTGGCTTTAACCAATGATCCACAACCTCAACCAGAGTACGACAGACGACTCCTGTGGACTTTGGACAGTGGTGCAGCATTGCATGTTACCTACAGAAAGGAACTTTTCACAGAAATGCACGAGCCTGAACCAGAACTACGTGAACTTTATTCTTTCTCCAATCATCCTTGTCAGGTCAAAGGAAAAGGAACTGTTTATGTTGAAGAGCTCGATGCATTCATTCCTGATGTTTATTACATACCAACAGCAACCAGTAATTTGCTTAGTCAGTGTCACTTGTCTAGAATGTTAAAGTTCCAAGTTCACCACCTTGAAAAAGCAAGTTACATAGTTAAAGATGGAGATATTGTTGCTGAAACCATATTAATTGGTGGTGTTTATTACTTAAAGCCAAAGCCTAAAACACAAACACAGGCAAGTATACAAACTCCAAAAAGGGAAGGCCCAGGCCCAGATAGAGATGCTCCAGAGAGAGATCCTGTTGCTATTCCAAAGGCTCCTAAAGCCAACAAAAATAGAATTGGTAAACAGGTTGCTCAGAGCAAGCCTGAGGTTCCGCATAAAAATGTTAATGTTGAGAATTCACTAACTGGTAAACCTTTGCATTCCAGGTGTATCCACAAATGGCATAGAAGATTGGGGCATGCCGGTTTCCGTGTTCTTAGGAAGATGCCGGAGTTCGCAAAAGGTTTGGATCTAAACGGGTGTAAGGTGTTTTTGGATTGTGCTGTATGCAAGAAGGCCAAATCCAAAGCAGCAGCCATTCCCAAACACGCTACATGCCTGTCAACACGCATTTTTGATTTGGTTCACATTGACATAGTTGGTCCATTCCTGCCATCATTTGGTGGTAGAAAATATTTTCTAACAATTGTTGATAATTACTCTAGATATGGATATGTATATCCTATGAAAGAAAAATCAGAGACCTTTCAGATCTTTAAAGACTTTGCAACCCTTGTTTCTACCCAACACCAAGTTCGCATCACCAGAATCCAGAGTGATCGTGGTGCCGAATTCATGTCTCAGCGTTTCCAGGACTGGATGCGTAAGAATGGAATTATTCATCAGACTTCAGCCCCTTACACACCGGCTCACAATGGAGTTGCAGAACGAAGACAAGGAGTCCTGCAAACCATGATGCGTTGTCTCCTAGAAGACGCCAACCTTGATATGATATACTGGGGTGAAGCTATCAAGTATGCAAATTACATTGTCAACCGTACTTGGAGCACTGTAACAAATCAGACTCCTTTCTGCATGTTGTATGGCTACAAGCCTGATCTTAAAAACATCCATATTTTTGGTTCATACGCTATGGTGAACATTCCCTTAGCTCAAAGAAGAAAAGGAGGTCCAGCAGCAAAGAGACTGAGATTTATGGGTATTGATGATAACTCAAAATGGAGCAGATTTATTGACTCTAAACATGCAATTGTGATTTCCCAATCTGCTAATTTTGAAGAAGATATTGACTGGTCCAGGATTCATTCCAATGATCCTGGAGTTTATTTTCCTAGAGATGATACTGCTGATGCCATGCAGATTGAAGATCAAGATTCCACCAATTCTTCTCAACCCGATGTTCCGTCTTCGCAAGCCGCGGATGCTGACGCTAGCGACGAAAGTGAGGACGAGGACGAAGTAGAAGAAGACTGGACAGTTGTCCCGAGACGTTCCAAGAGGGCCACAAAAGGGACCCCTCCACAACGATATTCTTGGCAACTGACAAAAGCACCCTTGCCTTTGATTTGCAATGTTACACTTCCACCTGATAATTTCACACAAATCAAGCAGCTCCCTGATTCAGAGCAAGACAAATGGTATGATGCAATGCAGGTTGAAATGGACAGTCTAAAGAAACTTAAAGTATTTACACCTGCAAAACCTCCAGCAAACAAAAAGGTCATTGGCACTCGATGGGTCTACAGAATCAAAAAGAAACCAAATGGTGAGTCACTGTACAAGGCCAGACTTGTAGCTCAGGGTTTCGCTCAACGTTATCCTGAGGACTACACAAATACCTACTCACCGACAGTCAGAACTGAGAGTGTAAAAATTGCTTTAGCAACTGCAACTATCCTTGGTTTAGAAGTTTTCCAGTTTGATGTTGACACGGCTTATCTGCATGCAGACCTAGATGAAGAGATCTACGTGAGAAGTCCTCCAGGATTCCGACAACAAGAAGGGGATACCTGGTTCCTAAACAAAAGTCTTTATGGTCTGAAACAATCTGGTTTAATGTGGTATTTATGTCTTACTGACAAACTAAATTCAATGGGCTTTATTAAGTCCGAAACTGATGAGTGCGTGTTCACAAAAAGATCTAACAATGCATATGAGATAGTTCTTGTTTATGTTGATGATATTGTTTATATTGGTCCAAATAAGCAAAAGCTTTGCAGAGATACTTCACATTGAAATCATTAGGTCACATTAGCACTTATTTAGGTGTTCAGATTAAAAAAACACAGAAGGGGTTTAGTCTTTCACAAGAAGATAAAATTGAACAAATTTTGCATCATTGCAACATGAAAGATGCTAACACAACAAAGACACCCATGCAAACAGATTTTCACAACTTGACACAAGAAGAAAGTCCTGAGTTCGAGGATCAAACACTTTATCGTTCAGTCATTGGGTCACTATTATACTTTAGTAGCTGGACCAGACCCGACATTGCACTTAGTGTTAATTTCTTATCACGACACGTAGCTAAGGCAAAACAGTTTCATTGGACATGTATTAAGAAATTATTGAGATACCTAAAATACACTAAACACATGAAGTTATTGTTAGAACCAACACATACTGATTATGCAGAATTATGTTGTTATGCAGATTCTGATTGGGCAAGTGATAAGAAATCACGTAAAAGTACTTCAGGTTATATGATGTTCTTAAATGGATGTCCTGTTTATTGGCAAGTACGTAAACAGAATTTTGTTTCTTGTTCATCTACTGAAGCTGAATATGCTTGTGTTTCAGATGCATGTAATTCTCTAACTTGGTTTGATGCTTTAGTCACAGATATCTGGACACACCCGATCCGACCGATCACCGTGATGGAAGACAATGAATCGGTGGTTTATATTTCTGAATCTCATTTTACAGATTCTAGGTCCAGACACATTGACATCTGTTATCAAAACATAAAACATTTAGTGAAAAAAGGTTTTGTCAAAATGCAATATGTATCTACACATGATCAAATTGCTGATTTGCTCAACAAACCACTTCCAGCAGCTCAACATGAGTATCTGCGTGAGAAGATGTGCCTTATTTGATGATGTACTGATATTCGCTCAACTGGCAAAGAAGGGGAATGTCACTGCGTTATTTTATTTGCCAGCTGAACTCATCATTTCTGGACTGTCAGACTCTCTGTAGCTTGCCAACTTCTTATGAGTAAGCTACGTGTTTCCGTATCCACCCACATTCCTTCACTTGCTTCACACACTCTTTCCTTTGTTCTCTTTCCAGAAAGGTCCGGCTGAGAGTTAGCCGGCCCGAATTACTTTCAAAAATGTAGCAATTACTTTTCTTAGTTAGTGAGGTGTTTTATTTTCTTTATAACAAATAAATGAGTTTTATTAGAAACTTTTCCTCGCGTTTCTTTTCAGAATATTGCAACTTGGAATAAGCCACGATCCATCTCCTCTAAACCAGGGTAATTAGTCCCAGAGCCAAACATGGGATTAATAAATGCCCTGACAGATATATATATATATATATATATATATATATATATGATATATTAGAAATATATGTATAAAGATATATTAAGATAAGAAAGAGAAAATGTGTATAAATATGGATTGCTGATGTGAAGATGTTGAAAAGAAGAAGATGTAAATATCTGTTTTTGTTTAATAAAAATATTTTTTAAAACAAAAAATTTAAAAAAACCTATTATAGTCCCCAAATCCAAATCAAAACCACTGCCATTTCTTCCCCAAAATGCCACAGGAAATTCATATGTAAAAAAACCATAAGGAAACAAAAGAGGTTTTATACAACTCCACAGGAACAAAGGATAGAGATAAAATTGAACAAAATAGGAACCAAGGCAGGAACAATGAAATGCTTTAAGTGAAGCAAAGGACACACAAAGAAAAGTCACAGTTCAATATCAAACTGACTAACTACAGTTTCCCTTGCACATCCCGAAATGCCTCATAAAAAGAAACCAACGGAACAAATATAGTCCTGCACAATACAATATCTAACTTTCCAATACTTTTATTTATTTATTTATTTACAGTCTCTTCAACACCTAGAAACTCCAAACTTACAGTTGCACTCTATGATGTTGGCCTTCTCTTGCTCCTAGCCATGATTTATTCAATCTTGTCTGTTTCCCATACTATAAGAAAAACTAGCCGGCAACAAAGAAAAACAAAGAATAAGGACAACTCATAATTATTACATAAACTCAGGGCAGAGTTCAGCTAGATTTCATGCTATGGAAAGCTACAAAAAGAAAATGCAGGGTCAAAAAGATAGAGGGCAGAAATGTCAGGAATAAAGACAAACATTTAATAGCAGAAATAGGCAAACATGGATATTTCTCCATTTTGGGGACCAGTCATTGCTGTTTGGTTTTTTTTTTTTTTTTTTTTTAGTATTTGTAGTTTATTTTTATTTTTAAAAATCCTGCTAAAAGAAAAGCTGGTAAGAAGTAATTCCAGTATCCTGCTTCAGATTACTCATAGGAACTGATAGGCCAATAATGGTTGCATAGCTCCCTCTAGAATGGCTTTAACTATATCTTTTTTTTTCTATATACACTGTCATTAGCCCAGTGGTGGGTTTCAAAATTTTTTACTACCGGTTCTGTGGGTGTGGGTTGATGGGTGTGGCTTTGTGGGCGTGGCAGGGGAAGGATATTGTAAAATCCCCATTCCCTTCCCAATTCAGAGGAAGGATACTTCAAAATCCCCATTTCCTCCCAATCAGCTGGGACTTGGGAGGCAGAGAATAGATGGAGGCGGGGCCAGTCAGAATTTTTACTACCGGTTCTCCAAACTACTCAAAATTTCTGCTACTGGTTCTCCAGAACTGGTCAGAACCTGCTGAAACCCACCTCTGCATTAGCCTCATGTTATATGAAAATGAAGCAGTTTATATGAGACATTCAGATTTATGTACTACAAATTTCCTAACGTAAGCAACATTTTCCTGGCCAACAACATTTGTTGCTAGGTTTTGCAACTGTATCATATCACTCCTGCGGATATAAAGATTTCTCCAGTAAAAGCTTTTAATATTTTTTACAATAGCTTAAATTTAACATATATGAAATACTTTTCAAATCAACACTGTGATATAATTGATAGAACAGAACCAGAATTAAAATGCATTAATATAGCGTCACCATTCATTTTTGGTGTCAACTACATTTCTGCTTTCATTTCACCTTTAACAATTCCTATTTCATTATAATCATGAAATTCATCCATAGTATTTTGACACATTATTATATGTTATTCAAATTTATTCCTATTTGATTATCTTCCTGACTATAGCTCTTACACCAGTGTCTAAAGCAGCTGCAAGTATTTTAAAATGTTAATCTTCATCTTTTTAAACATCTTTTTTATTTTATTACAAAGTTCCACAAAGTACTGAATCTCTTATAGCGTCTTTAATCCCTCCCCAGCTTTGCATTGTTGGGCAGCTTTCTGAGTTTAGAGATATATTCTGCAATTTATTATCCTTATTTTTTTGTTTGAGGTTATGGAACATAAAATATTCTGCAATCAGTCAGATTTTGTAAGGATATAAATGCTATTGCATTTACTACTTCTGTAGAGTTTAGTTGTAAGGACAGTTATTTTAATAAACTTTGTTTTGATTCCCAAAATACTCAATAATAATAATAACTTTTTTCAACCATTCTACATACCTAAAAAAAATATAGGTATATATATATATACATACATACATGCATACATGTATACACATACCTATACCTATACCTATACCGATAGATAGATGATAGATAGATAGATAGATAGATAGATAGATAGATAGATAGATAGATAGATAGATAGACAGACAGACATATACATATACCAGTGGTGAAATGTGACTGGGTAGGTGTGGCCAACTCTTTTTTTTTTTTACTTTTAAAAGCATTTTTTCTACAACCTCTTTGGCCGAAAATGCTTGTTTTCTTTTAAAAGCATTTTTTTTTCTTTTAAAAGAAAAAAAAGGCTCTGACGATCAGGTAACTCAGCTGGGATCATCGGAGCCTTTTAAAAGCATTTTTTTTACAACCTTTTCAGCCGAAGAGGCTCTGAGCTTTTAAAAGTAAAAAAGAAGCCTCTGATGATTGCGTGGCTCAGCTGGGCATGGGGGGGGGGCAGGGATTTTTGCTACCGGTTCTCCGAACCACCCGCTGCCATTGTTACCGGATCCGGCAATCCCTGACATATACATACACACACAGAGAGAGATAGAGAGAGAGAGAGAAAGTCCTCAACCTTCAACCATTCATTCATTGACAAATCAAAGTTATCCCTATTGAACAAATAGGGATTATGACCAGTTCTCACAGTTTCAGCCATTGCAGTATTCCCATGGCCACATAATTGCAGTCTGAATGTTTGGCAACTGATTTACAGTTACGATGGGCTGCAATGTTCCATAAGCACATGGTCATGAAGCTGCTCAGAGTCACGTGAACTGTGAGATAGGCTGCAAATAAATTTGATGAACAAACAAACAAACAAACAAATGTCATTTGCAATCTTCTCTGTCAGGTTTCCCAGAAAGTAAATGGGGAAGCCATCATTAAAGGCCACAGGTTGCTGAAGTAAGCCTTTCCCATATGAACATACACCCCAAGAACTCTGCTGGCCATTTATGCACTCCCATTGCACCTGCCTTGCATAACTTCTCACATTGCCACACACTTTCCCTAACCCAAGACCCTTCTGTATTCACTCAATACACACTGGCACTTAGCATTTAGCATTTAGCTGCCAGCTGCCTGCAATTAGTGCAAGTTCAAATCTCACCAGGCTCAAGGTTGACTCAGCCTTCCATCCTTTTGAGGTAGGTAAATTGAGGACCCGGATTGTGGGGGCAATAAGACAGCTTTCTATAGAACAACACAGCTTGGGGGCCCCGAAAGCCCTAATAAGCAGGTATATACATTAAAAAGTATGCAGGCTATTGCTACAATGCATTGCAAGCCGCCCTGAGTCTACGGAGAAGGGCAGCATATAAATTGGACTAATAAAATAAATAAATAAATAAATAAATAAATAAATAAATAAATAAATAAATGTACTCCATCAAACCAGAGGTGGGTTTTAGCAGGTTCTGATCAGTTCTGGAGAACTGGAAGTGGAAATTTTGAGTAGTTCGGAGAACTGGTAAATGCCACCTCTGACTGGCCCACTCCCCTCTATTCTCTGCCTCTTGAGTCCCATCTAATCGAGAGGAAATGGGGATTTTGCAGTAACCTTCCCCTGGAGTGGGGTGGGAATGGATATTTTACAGCATCCTTCCCCTGCCATGCCCACCAAGCCATGCCACGCCCACCCACAGAACCGGTAGTAAAAGAAATTGAAACCCACCACTTCATCAAACCCATGGGGCCCCTTTGCACCCTCCCCAGTCAATCATCTCTTGTGCCTTCCCCTTGGAGCTTGTGCCTTCTTTCCAAACCTCTGCATGTTCACAACTCTCCCTCCATTACCACCATTTATTTGCCTGGCCCAACACCCTGCTGGCTTGAGTCATTGATCACATGCTGAAACAGTTAGAAGAATGATGCATATTATTAAATTGATCAACTTCTGCATGCTTCTTACTTTCCTTACTTAGTTACTTTAGGCTGAGAAAAGAGGAATCTCATTGCTGATTGATCAAAGCTTCTACTTTAGGAATTAAAGGATTAGATAAAAATTCAATTTATAAATAAACTAACTTGCAGACATCTTTGATCACAAAACATTAAAAACACTAAAAATCAAACCAAATAAACATCTGCCTTGCATAAAACTACTTCAAAAAAAAAAAAAAAAAAAAAACACCAGCCAGCACAGCAATACAAAACACAGGTGCTAAAAACAAAGGAACAGCCCATCAATATATTCAAATGATTTAAAATGCCTCAAGTAATAAAAAAAGGTAATCAGATGCCAAGATGACCATAATGTAGGAACAACATAATCTGCATAAATATAAGAAAATAAGAATTCCAGTTCTATGCATTAAAATCAAAGTGACTTTCTAGAAAATGCTTATGTTGGGCTGCTTTTATCCATCAAAAAGAGTAGCTTTTAAAATATTATGCTCTTAGAAAGGCAGAATCACAGCAGTGGTGCTAACCAATACTATTAAGTATGCTGTCATAGACTATCACATAGGCTCAGACACTTAGTCTTACTAACGATGCAATAGAGTAAGCGGGATCATTTAAATAATGATAACACCATCAGGGCTCCTGTGTGATTTGTTTTCTTTCTTCGCGCAATTCACCTTGCATTACAGGTTTATTGTACTTTATAGTCGGCATCTGTATATGGGCACGTTGGCTTTACCTTCTTATTCACAACCATTGCACGTACTGTACAGTTTTAACTGACTTGCTTTGGAAGGTTTCACAGTAGTTGCTAGGAAACCTTTCTGTGTTCTTTTCACTTCTTATATGGCATTAGCTTTTCAATTGATAAGGCTGTACCGTTTGGTACAGAGGGATTTAAGCCGAATCAAACAATAACAGTGGGGCTGCAAAACTGATAAGCAAAAAAGAAAAAGAGAGAGAGAAAGAGAGAGAGACAGAGGGAGAAATGGCACAAATCCCTGTTCTTAAACACGTAATGTACAGGATTAAGGGGAGAAATGGAAATGACATAGCATATTTTCTTTCACTATTTGTCATTTTTACATTGTGTTTTAAGTGCACCTCCCCAAATCATATTCTCATTACAGTTTTCATAAAAAAAATTCAAGTGTTAATTTTCTCACCTCACATCCTGAATTAAATGTAATGAATAAAAACTCATCTGAAAGTTTTCTGTGCATAGTTAATAAAATCCCGAAGTATATGGTAGGTACCTGCATATAATTTGTGGGTAGATAGGTGCGCACGCACATGTGTATGTTTGATTTATTTGCTTTTTGGTGTAAGAAGTTATATACATACATTCAATATTACTGGGCCTTTTTATTAATTGGGGAAACTGTTTCAAAACTTACGCCTGCATTCGTTGAAAAAGAATAATTCACAAACATAAGAATATGTAATGCTCACGATCTTTCTCTCTGTCTCTCTTTCATGTGGGTGGACCTTGTTATTAGATAGCTACAACAAAATAAAAATCTCCATATGGATCACTCTCATTATTCCAACTAGAAAGATTTCATGAAGATTTCCAATGAGTCAGAAAAATGACTTAATCAGATAAAGAAATCAATGAAATTAGTTAATTGGTTTTTATTGCTACTTCAGATTTATGTAAACAAATTCAAAATTTTCTCCTTATAAGTCGCTATAGAAGATGCGATAAATGCATTGTGCAAAGGCAGAAGGGGGAAAATTTTTTTGCTGAGTATGCTCCTTGAGGATCCATAGAAAAGAAAATGCCATAATTGTAAGGCAGATGTAGGCATGTTTTACAGGTGAGCTTTAGGATTATCTAAATTACTTTGTTTTCTACATTAGCTTCCTACTTATATAATAAGATTTTTTTTTAAAAAAAATATCTCATAATGTCATAGATTCCCTAAAATGATTGAATAATATTTTAAAAGAGGAAAAATTTGAATGGATATGATAAATGCAACTGTCCTGCCTCAGCAAATACCTTTTATACAGTATACTGTTGTTGCTCTCTAGCCCCATCTAGTGGCTGGAGAGATAAACACTAAGTATATTGTTTGAAGCTGACCCAACCCCCTTACCCATCGGCCTGCACTCTCAAAACAAGTGCACACTGGGAAGCCAGACTCCATTTGTTTTAGCATTTGGAGAAGGCTGAAGCACAAAGAAGCATCCATCTTAATCTGTGGCACATGGTCATCCAAGGACAAAGCCACATCCCACACACAGAGCATTGCTGGTGAGATTTAAATTGCTTGTATTTATTAATTGTTATGTTCAGCAGTAACTTAATACTGTCTGTTTTGTATTTGGTTCTCATTGTATGTATCCCTACTTTCCCCAGTTCCATCATATCCTTTCTTTCAATAAAGCATTCAGATCTATGCACAGGGTCTGTTTTATTGAAGGATAGGTTGGTTTAGTTGCATGTTGAGCTGCACACAGACTAACGTGTAGTGGGGACAGAAGAGCAATGAAGAATGGTTTTCTTCCCCCAATGGGAATGACTTAAACTATGCATGCCTTCAGAACAGCTTCACAACATTTCAGGTAGGATTAGAATAACCTGTCAAATTTAAAGCAGCTATTTCAAAAGCAGCTACCCTTTAAGTAGGAGCCTGGGTAGTACAGTGGTCTAAAGCACCCTGTTATTAAGACTAGCTGCCTGCAATTACTGCAGGTTCGAATCTCGCCAGGCTCAAGGTTGACTCAGCCTTCTATCCTTTCTTAGGTAGGTAAATTGAGGACCCAGTTGTGGGGGCAATAAGCTGACTTTGTATAAATATACAAAAAAGATGAAGGTTATTGTTTAGCACATTGTAAGCCGCCCTGAGTTTCCGGAGAAGGGCGGCATATAAATCAAATTAAAAAAAAAAAGTAGTCATGATAATAGTACTGCAGACATACCAAACACATATCAGCTTCTTCTTTGCTTGTAATGTATAATATATCCTGACTAGAGATACTCAGAGACAGAGACAGAATACACATTGTTATTACTCTAGAAAAGATATCAAGTCATAGAACCAGATGAAAATTGGAACTGCAAAAACTGGCCTTTACTGTAATAATTCCACTTAATAATAGTCTTCTGTCATACAGTGAGCCATGGAAATTTCGTTTGTGTGCCATTCCCAATTGGTACAAGAGATGTGTCACTATACTTTTATACAATGGTACAGTTATACCCCATCAAGAGTGCACGTCCTGTAATATTGCACTCTTTTCTTCCTCTTCTCAAACTATTGACTTTTTTGATAGCCTGAAATGACATTTTTAAAGGTTAAATGCAAAGGCACTGGTGAATCTCTTCTACCTTCAAGTCATTTATTATATTTCCTAAGAAATGTTTGCAGACTCCATGGCACATTCATACATGATTTCACAGTATTGAGCTATGCATTTCAAATAATTATCTTAAACAATAACCAAAGCAGCATTTCATTAATATTTTTTTTTTAAAAACCCTTTATATTAAACCAAAAGCAAAGCTATGACTAAGGGAAAAATAAGAAGGTTATATTGAAAGGGAGCAAGGGAAAGAAAGTTTCTTACATTATCTTGAATATCTGGAAGTGACAATATTGAATAATAATGTTGGTTATTAAAGTTGCATATTTCTGTGGTCTTTTCTATTTTGACATTCCTGAAAAGAAAAACAAAACACACACTCTCTCACACACAAAATAGCATAAGGGGAAAAAACCCCTATCATCCATTTATACTAATATTGAGCCTAATTGCAATAAATATTGACTGCATTATTTTCACTGAAGATTCTTGTAATTATCCTCTTAGGGATTTGCAATCAGTTATTTAACCCTACAAATATTTTCAATTAATCTAACCCTAGAAATGTTTTCAATTTAGCAAAAAGGATCTCCTGGTTCATTAATTTCTATTTGCATCATCAAACTCTGAAGTCCTTTAGCAAGAATTCTATTACAGATAATAGAAGCGGTGTCCGTTCTAATATTTTGCAGACATTCACATACAGATGAATACAGAATATTAGAGGGTGTGTGCACATAAGCCATATATCCTAATATTTCTGCATAGTTCTGTCTGAAAGGGAACCTATAAGTTCACATTGTGGAACTGACAACATGCATTTGTAAAATCCTTTATCTAATCTTCAGCTGTGCCTATTATTAAATAGGTTAGCTGGCATACAATGTATTATTGAGTAATTGTGGAGGATCTTTAAAGGTACCAATGTATACATGACACAGCTAGATTAGAGCCTTCTGTAAGGCTGATTTTGATGTTCTTTAGCACAGTAAATCAACTACACTTAAGCATTAGCTAATTTAAATGGACTGGAATTAGATACATTCAATCAGTAGACCATACTCATCAGAATATGAAAACTATTTGAATGGTGTTGCTTTCATAAGGAAGGCTATACCAAAGAAGTATTGGGTACCCTAAATAACTGACCAAATAAGACTTAAATTTCAACCATAAGTAAACAAAACATACAAGCATGTTGTGCTGCATGTGGTTGAGACTGGAATGCCATACTTGGAAATATTAAAGAAGAAAATATAAGCTGGACTGTATGGTTAGAAAATAGAAATGAAGCAGAAGAGCGATGTGTCATTTTCCACCAATCAAATGATGATTTAATTCTTCCAACAACCAAAACAATCTTTATATACAGTATCATCACCTAACACAGATAATTCAGCTGATTGTACAAAAAATGAAAAAGGTTACAGTATAACAGTAAAGATGAGATTGGGACAGATTATACTGTAGAACAGCTCACAAACTGTTCATAAGCAAATTATAAATCAAGTTAACAAGGGTTAAAATGGTAAGCAATTTCAATCATTTCAAGGACAACCTCAGAAATTACCTTGATGTCATGAACCTCATTGATAGGAAACCAAATTTGGAGTGAAATGAAATACATTATTAAGGATGAACATTCAAAGAGCTTGCCAAATGGGAGAAAGAAAACTGGATATCAGAACAGATGGTGAAATTGATGACATATATACAGAAATAAAGAAAGCAACAGAAAAATCAGATTCTAATTAAACTACACCAATAAATCTGGAGAGCGACACAGTGGTCATCAGATTGGAAGAAGTCAGCCTACATAAAATACCAAAGAAAGGAGATTTAACAGTGCAAACAAACTATTAATTCTATCCTTATTTTACATGATGTCAATAAAATGCTTAAGGTCAAGAAATAAGATTAGAATCCTTCATGAAAATGCTTCCAAATTTTCAATGTTCAGTCTACTTTAGAAGTGCCAAGGAACACGAGATACTGCTAATACATACTGGATAATTGAAAAAGCCAAGCAATAGAAAAAAGAAATATATACTTTAATTGTGTTGATCATGTCAAGCAGATGTGCTTATAAATCCTAGAGCAATATACTGTCTTCATGTAAAACATATATACATAGGTCAGAAAACCATTGTCTGGATGAAATATTAAAAAAAAAAAAAACTGACTCCACTTGACAAAGGCTGTATTTTGTTGTTGTTAGTTGTGAAGTCATGTCTGATCCATTGTGACCCCATGGACAACATTCCTCCAGGCCTACTGCTTCAGTGACTCCATCCAGCCACCTCATTCTCTGTTATCCCCTTCTTCTTTTACCCTCAATCTTTCCCAGCATTAGGCTCTTCTCCAGTGAGTCCTTCCTTCTCATTAGGTGGCCAAAATATTTGAGTTTCATCTTCAGGATCTGGCCTTCTAAACAGCAGTCAGGGTTGATCTCCTCTAGGACTG